AACTCATTTATTATAATTTATAATAATTATGATTAATTTATCATATTTCAATTAAGAATACACTTTTAGAACAATTTTTTCATTTATAATTTCTAATATATTTTTAGATATGAATTCAAAGGAGGGAAGAAAGTTGCTTTGCAAGAAATTGGTCCAAGATTTACGTTGAAGTTACGCTCTCTACAAAAAGGAACATTTGATTCTAAATATGGAGAGTACGAATGGATATTAAAAGTGAGCTATCATTTAAAACTGCTATGAACTGTCAAAATTATTATAATTTAAAGATCAAAATATTAATAGTCCATATATTATTTGATATAATTATAAAATTTAATAGATAAAAATTTTTATATACAGTCGACGTCCCTATAATGCGGTAGATATGTTCTGCTTTATAAGAATTTCACGTTGTAGGAATCCTTAAATACATGAGCCAATCACAGCCTGACACATGTGCAGTTTATAGACTACGGCTGTTTGAAAGGTTTTCTTCCATAAAATTAATCAATTCTAGACTAATTTCACTCATCATTTCCAAAACACATATAATTTTTTGAGAATAATCTGTATAAACTATGCTATAAACAAAAAATTGTATGATTACTTACCGAGTGTGCACCGTTCGACCACGCCATTGCTTAGGCTTGTTTTCATTGCGGAGCAGTGCACCAAACGGTGGGCGCATTTTCTGATAAGTTATTTTTCTGTGAAAAATTTGTTGAACTTTGGAGACATCATTAATAGAAATAATTTTTATGGCTGTTGAATAAGAAATGTTTTTTTCACAAGAATTGTATAAAATTACAATACTGTATTAGACTTACAGTACCTAATTTAGGCCTATATACTGTACAGACGATAGTAAAACTCAACTTACCCGCCTAAACTCTTCGTAGCGTGTAAGTAGTTCAGCTGCTCGTCCACTATTGGTCCAGATTCAACCAGTCCTGTCGCGACACGAGTTGGCGATGACGTTTTACCGCATTTTATTAGTGTTTTAGCGTCTTTATACGAATACGGTCGCAATTTTTTTGCTGCAATATACGAATCCGCATTTGTTTTTACTATCTGAATAATTTTGATATGGCTTTAATAATATAATTGAGGTGTTTAGTGTAGAAAACATCATATCCACAGATTGTACATTAATAAAATGTTGCATATTAAGTGCTAGTGAATTGAAAAACAAATCCTTCTGTTTCTCGAAAACTCCCTAATATGAGATATGCTGTTTTTACTTTAGCTTTTTAATTATTAACTGAATTGAGAAAGTATAAAAAAATTAAAGTTAATAAATTATTCTTTAAATATATAATTTTATAATAAT